TGGTTGAACTCCACTGGTCTCTGTTTCACATTAGAACTTCAGGATATACATCTTGAAGTCATTCACTAGTGAATATATGTCGATTAGTATAAGAAGGGGGTTTTGTGGAGATTTTAATAATTTCAATTGTTGAAATCATGGGTCAATTGAAGCTAGACCACTATGGAAAACCTGGATGACCGTTTTAGTCCTATTATGTGTCTCCTCGGTAATTCGCATACATAATTAACAAAATCATCTCTTTTTTGTTTCTAACTAAATGAAAAGTCTGTTTTGCATATCTAAGTCATACTATTCATCCCTTCTTATTCATCCATATTTTTTGTTATCTAAATGAATTTGTTTTTATTATAGGATATATCTCAAATTCAAACAACAACAACAACAAAAAGATATCGTATTATATCAGTTAAATTGTCGACAATTTCAAAATGAATATTACTTTTGTATAGCAACAATTTACTTATTTTATCTTTATCAAATTAATCGTTGTTCTTTTGTGTATTGTTAATGATTCACTTCATTTCATTTTGATTAAAATAATACAGTTATTTTATGGTTGTTCACTTATTTTCAGGAATAGAAATAGTTGTCACCATTTATTCATTCTCTATTCATATTATATAATGTATGCACTTGTTTGTATGTTCATTTATCTATCTATATATATATATATGTGTGTTTGTGTGTCTAAAAAAAGTGTGTCTGTATTCTCTTCTTTTTTTTATTTTTGTATATTGTTTCTTGTTCTCTCCTACCCCCCCCCCTTACTCTCCCACTTCTCATATTCTTCAACTCTTTATATTTACGCTTGAGTATATATTCATTTCGTAATTATAATTATGTTATCACTTGAAATAAAAGAAAGAGACAATACACAGTTTAAAAATAGATAAGTGAGAGACATATACAATTATTTTCTACAATTTGAAAACAAATAAGAAACTTATTCGTTCTCTTTTTTTTTATTCAGAAGAAAAAAAATTAATATTCATTATTTCATTTTAAGAGTTTATTGTATTGTTGCTATGGTTTATGGTTCTCTTTTTTTTCTAGCCTATGAATCAATCTAGTAATGGTGATAATTGCAGTGGGTTGTTCTTTATATATGTATGTGTGTGTGTGTGAAGATCCGCACGTGTTTGCACACACACACACATATCAAACAGGGATAGACAAACAAGATGTTGAGCTGTAAATGATATAATCATCATATATGATTATTAGTTTGAGATTTAATATTCGAGGTTATGTATAAATTCGAATGGCCTGCAGTATAGGGGAGCACGGGTTGTGGATATATAAATATATCCATAAGTGGTATGTGCATATCAATAAAATAATGGATGACTTCATTCAGACTGTTTCTTGTACAAAATTATTTGTTATTTTTTAAGTGATAGGTAGTAGAAGTGAACAACTGTCTACACTAAGTAAAGACAAAATAATAGCCAGTGTGATCTATCTCTTATTTCTGAACAAATATTAATCAATCAAGTCATAATTTAGCCATTGGTTTGAGCAACTCAATATTTTAGTATATTATATTTCATGTCAGAGAATTAAAGATAACCTTAGAATAAGATTTCACGCTAGTTGGTCCTTATGAGCGATTCATATCTATCATCTTGATGGGATTAATGATCTTCATGAATTATGCAATGTCACAGGGATTCAGGAGTTACTCAGATAACATACGGTGGTAACTTCCTTGATTAAGAAACTTTATTGTATGGATAAGGATTTTATGGCAAGTACTGATCCCTTCGACGAGTACAAACTAGGTTTAAAGTCTTTTCAGACTAAAGCCAACTATTAAAAATCAAGTAACCATTCCAAATCAATTTTGAGTATTGAAAATGAAAACGGAAATGTACTTCAAAATGTGAGGCACTTTTCATGACCTTGAAGTAATTAAATATCAACCAATTACAATACGTGATTGAATGAAGGTGGGAGAACAAGACTTGGAGAACAACATGAATTCATTATACTTTAAGATTTCTCATCAGTTCAAAGTAAATTAAATTCTATATTAATAATACTATTATACGAGAAGTTTATTACATACTGTAATCGATGAATGTTAGTTCGAAACAACATAAGAAACATTTGATATCATAGTTAAGATTAATTAGTATTAATATGATGAAGATGAAATCATAAAAAGGCAAAAAGAGGGTAAAGTTGTAAATGATAATGTAATTGACAAGCATTAAAATAATATAACTATCTTACTTTAGTAATGATAAATTTACAACACATTCTTTTTTGTATACAAAGGTCATGTCGTAAACGCTTGATGGTAATGGCCTTGGAAAAATAGAGTAAAAGTAGTATATGTTACCTGTTAATTATTTCCAACGTTGTTGATACATCCACCTTGTGTTTATTGTCTATTAAATGTTTAACGATCGCACTTATGAATACTTTAATTCTTTGTGGACACAACTTACGGATAATGTATTTGGAAAACCATGTAGATACACTTCTTTTGATTCTTCCTATTCAATTTCTTTTATAAGCACATATAAATTCATAACTACAGTTGAAGGTGATATCAAAAGATTATTGATTCACCTTTAATTGATTTAAGGAACATTTGATGTTACACACCGAAAATAGTTGGGCTATATACTGTATCCAATCTTACCCAATAGTTTCTCACCTATGAACAGAAGAATATTGTTTTACCTAATTTAACCATGATGAACACTTAAAAATACAAGATAATTATTCATATCCGGTCTAATATGATTCGCAAGTTAATTTTCTTTATCGACTTAATTAGATGTTTATCTAAAACAAATATGAAGACCTACTATGATTTAGAAGGAGAATATTATTAGTTAGAGCTTCAAAATTGTCTTCAAGATTGTCTTACTGTAAACACATAAAGTTACTTTCAAAATTTTTTCCAGGAAAACGTGTAGGGTGGTGGTAACACTACAAACTGTGATGTTACTAAGACATCACAACACTATACTCGAGTAGGTAGTTAGACTATTCCACTTCATTGGTAAAAATAGTTTGAAGTGATGCTCAACTAGACATCCTACATTTTCTTGTTTTTTTTCAGAACACGATGAATTCGTGAAAATACACTATCATAGTTCACAAACAAAAAATAATTTACTTTTCAAGTTGGCTACCAACATCCAGACTGAATCATTAACCACTGATGATTCATGAATTTAACCATAGTAAAGGTTTCTTACTTAAGTGTAGTAAAGTGAAAGTTAGATCATTTGAAAGATTTGTACATACAGATAAAAATACATGCCTTCTAAATAAGCTATTTTTGTCAAATTGAAATCTGTTTGACCAGTATTGATCGAATGCTGTTAAACGTCTATGATTTGATGATTTCATTTCAACCATAGGACGTAAATGAGTGTAAATTAGTTCATTTAGACAGTTTGTAAAAGCAAATAATCATTAAGACAATGTTTCCTCCAAGTTAGAAACTCATTCACCATGCTCAGTTATGACCTGTTTAGAGGTCATAACATTGATATCAAGGTTTAATTTCAGATACTTTACTAATCAGCCACTAAATTGTAAGTCAGTAGTCCACTCCCGACATGGCTGAATTCCATCAGTAATCCTTCTTCAGAAGTATTTAAAGGAATATCTGCAAAATCAGTCACTATTTTATCTACACATCACTGTCATTTATTAAAGTTATGAGTCATAGAGACTGTTCAATCTTGAAGATGGTAGACTATTGGTTTCAGATTCAGTGATCTAAAAATCTTATGCTCATCATAAGACTTGCATATCATACGTTTAAATTCTCGAAATACTATCGAACTAAAGTTCAGTGTTTTTCTATTCATGTTTCGATCATTAACCTTTGTCAGTCAAAACAAAAACATTAATAAAACCTACTTCAAGTTATGAATAAGCTTGACTTTTATGTTGAAATAACCATCGTTTTTTTCAAGTGTTCAATAAATGTGTAATATCTAGCATTTTCAAGCATGTTTCTATTTATTTCATCGGTCAGTACTGCAAATAAGAATATGATTTTCACCTGAAATTTCATTTCAATCATTTATATATGTCTTCCATGAACATGACACTGTAGAACATCTCAACTTGACGGGAAAAAAACTAAATAAACTGAAAGTCAAAGCTTGAAATAAAATTTTCAATACAAATCATCTACTTTTAAATGTAACACTCACCTGCTTTTTTTGGTTAGCGTTTTTTTTAGAGAATTATTTTTCTATGAAATGGAGTCACTAACCCCATGCTCAACCTTCCTCCTTTATCCGGGTTTGGGACCGGCAGTAACCCCAGAGGGCCTACAGGTATTACACAATATATTAAACATTAAAACATAGATTCACAGCAACTTTACAGACATGTATTTTATCTCAATTTTTATCTCTCCTATTTTGATACATCCCTCTTTTATAATTTCATAACTTTTGGTCAATATAAAAAATTCAAAATTGTTCCACTGCTAGCCACTATCCATTTTTGCATATAATGCTTGTGAATTAAGGGTATATCAAGACAATAAGCACAGTATACACATATGCCAATAAGTAACTGATCAATTTCAGTGCTAAATATCAATGGGAAGATTCAAGTGAATTAAACTTCACCCCATTGCATAAACAAGTGAATATGAGGACTCAGTAGCTAAGTAGATAACACGAAAGCGTTTATAGCGAATACAACTGAGTTCCAGTCCTAAAGTGAACATCAACTCTGAGATACAGGTACATCCAGTTGACGAATACCAAATAGAATAAAACATGTGTCATGGATTTCATTGCTAACCATTATCTATCTTTGTGTATAATACTTGTGAATTAAGACTATATCTAGGCCATACACATATACCAATAACAGACTGATCAATTTCAGTCCTAAACAATAATGAGAATATTCAAACAAATAATATCAAATATGAATTTAAAATATTACTTCCCTTAATAATTTTTTGATTGGTCAATTCATCGCAATATTTTTTCTTCTTTTTTTTTGAATGGTTACTTTATTTTTTTAATAAAAAAAATCTGATTGGTCAATTTATGGTCATGTGTCATTAATTCTATCTTAATAATATTCATGTAAAATTAGGCACGCGATCAATTTTTTATTATTATTTTGATTACAATTATCATTACAATTATAGTGTTTATTTCATAATGTCAATTGATTTTAATTTAACAACTTCAATGGAACCAATTCGACAATTATTTACAAATAAATTATTACATAATTCTATAAAATATAAAAATATACAAATAGAAGCATATGAAGCATGTAGTAAAAGTATACAAAAAATACATGATCAATATAATATTGATTTAAATCAATTAAATACATATAATTCAATAATAATCAATGAAAAATCATATTGGAAATGGGAAATAATAAATTCAACTATTGAATATATACCAAAATTTTATCAACAAAATTATTATCAATCTAATGAAATTATAAATAAACAATATTCTATTCAACAATCAATAATAATTCCATTAACTCCATACAAAAAATTAAATCAAATTGATAAATCTCATAATATAATAGATAATCATGAAATATATAATAAAAATCAATCAATTTGTAAATATTCTATTTCATACAAGAATGAAATGAAACATACAACTATGCCTAATAATCAATCATGTAATCTGTTTACACTATGGCAACCAAAAATAAAACGTGAAAATTATATTGATTTAAATAATAATCAATTAATAAATAAATTAAAAAATCATTCATCATTTATAAATTATCGATCTAAAAGTTTAGATAATGATTTAAATAATTTCATACAATTTAATCAATTCAATCAATCTAATAAAATTAAAATCAAAAATCAATTTTTTTCATGTATTGATCTTAATCAAATAAATAATAAACAAATAAAAAATCAATATGAAATCATGAATTCTCTAACGAAAGAAATGAATAGAAAACCAAAAAATGAACATATGATTAAAAAATCCAAGAAAAAAATAATAAATAATCATTTATTGATTACATGAAATATAAAATTGAATATTATGGTTTCTACTACTTAAATGACAAAAAGTAAGTAAATAAGTAGTACGTTAAACATCTTCTTAAAAAAATGTTTATGAATTTACTTATTACAATTTTTTTTCTGTTCAATGTATTCATTGTTTTCCGTAAACAAAATAGTTTCTATACAGTTTTGTATTTTGATGAAGTTTATTTTTTCTTTGAGCTGCATAGTTTAATTGTGTATATACATATACAAATTATTCAATTCAGAGAATAAAACTCTATCAAAATCATTTGCCTGAAATACACATCTTCTCCATCATTTCAACTAATAATTATATTGTTGAAAGTTCATCATAAGCGACAAACAGTTTATTCTGATAATTCACTGAGTTGATTTTATCCTGATAATATCTAAACGTATTCATAATGAAATCTTTCAGCTTGAAGAATTCGATATTACAGAAATCCTTTATTAATCCTTCCATAATTAATTTAATTTTCAATTTAAAAACAGTTTAATCATTCAATAGTCTTTCAAAGTTCGTTTCCTCCCCTAAAGATTACTAAAGTCCTTTTAAAAACCACCTAGTAATTTCTTTTTTCCTATGTAAGTTGTAAGGAGTTATTATCAAATTTAATAGTGAAACCTATCTATGTCATTTTTGAAGCATTTCACTATCAATGGATTGAAAGATGATTGGATGCCGACTCTGTGCTTTAAAGGTCAAGTGAACACTGCATAATCTAAAGGTGCTGAGTTCAATCTTTCATAAGGTTCTAGATGAACACAACTGAATAATTTCATACTAGCGGCTAAACCGATACTTTTTAGTCTTTAGTTGTTATTATCACTAAAATTAGTTCATGATGTAAACCATTAACTTTTTTAATTCCTTTATAGCTTTAAAAATAATCTATAATATGATATTAACTAGAAACTGATCACGTAAAAGTTATTCTTATTATTAAATTACCTAAATAGTGACTGAATTATATTAAATATCAATAATAATAGAAAATTCATTTCGTCCAACTTTAGGACTCATCAGTGATGCTCACTTATAAGATTAAAGTAAATTGTATCTATAAATATCATGTTTTACATTAACTATGATACTTTTTATTCATTAAATCGAGATCTAATGCTGAATAGTCTTAAATTAATATGAAATATTTATTTACTACTCTTTTGTAATCAGTAGTTTACAAACTGTTATTAGTCTATTTGAAAAAAATAATAAATTTAACGCAACTTAATTACTAACTATACACACTTTTCCACTTAATTTAGTCTTGTTTACTTAAATTGAACTAAGTTAAACTGAATGACATAAATTACACTTAATATATGTTTAAATTCATTAATTCCCTATTTTCAGAAAGGGTTTTGTGGAGATTTTAGTAATTTAAATAGTAGAAATCATCAGTCGATTGAAGTTAGACAATCATGGAAAATCTGAAAGCACTAAACGGCCATTTCGTTCTATTGTGGGACCACTCAGAAGTGCGTGCCCTCGATCCCACTTCGCCAGATTCCAACTCAGAACCTACTGGTCTTGCACGCGAACAATTAACCGTTAGACCACTCAACCAGTCGGCATACAACGGTGTTCATGTCTAACTTCAACTAATCCACGAAATTGAGCGACACATCCACCATTGTCGTCAGTGAGTTACTATCTCACAACAGACCTGGTTGAACTCCACTGGTTACTGTTTCACACTAGAACTCCAGGATATACATCTTGAAGTCATTCACTAGTGAGTATATGTCGATTAGTATAAGAAGGGGGTTTTGTAGAGATTGTAGTCATTTCAATAGTTGAGATCATGAGTCAACTGAAGTTTAACTATCATGGAAAACCTAGAAGCACTGGACGGCCGTTTCTTTCTAGTATACGACTCCTCAACAGTGCTCATCCCCAATCCTGCCTCGCGAGATTCGAACCCAAGAAGACTGAACAGTCATTTGATTCTATTAGGGAGACTTTGCGGTGGTGCTCGCCTAGGGTTCGAAAGTAAAACCTTCGGACCTCACTACAAACCACTAATTATTGAAACTACCGAATCGGCGTTCACTCGTAAAATTCCAGCTTCACTCAAGTGATGATATAGCAGGATAATCATCAAACGCAACTAGAGATAACTGTCTGATTCGCATTATGTCCAAACTTCACTAAATACAACTTCTTAGTGGAACTTCAAGTAAATTATTAAATAAATCATCAGTAAACTAATGAATAGAGTTTACTTGAAAAATTTTTGTTGATAAATCGTAACTGAAGAAGTTCAGATATGTTGTGAGTGAAACACTCATCGTTAGTCAGATTGAATGACTATTCCAGCATATCATAAATTGGTTCTAATGACCTAGCCTTCACTAGAAAATTTGAATATCTTGAGTATAATCCCTAATGTAGTTATAAATAGAAACTTTCAACATTTCCATAACTGACTACACTCTTCTAATGTAAAAATGTAAATTAAAGTAAAAAGAAGTTTATTTTCCATACTAGTGTATGTCCTATCCTGTCATATATGTATGTTGTAATACATTTTGTTGATAAGATGAAATATAATTATTAATAAAATGACTAGAAAATCAAATTTAAAAAAAAGGGAGTATACTTCTCCTTAGTGATTATCAACTACATTTTTTTTCGTTTTTTCATTGTTTATTTATGTTTTAACATTTAATTAACAGACCATATTGTTGTTGATCAATTATTTAATTCTAATTTATTCTTAATAAATTCATTCAATTCTGCTTAAAATTCATCGTGTTAACCTTGAAAAAAATAACCTTTACATATAGAGTATTTTAACAGTTGAGATTATGAGTCAATTGAAGGTAGAACACCATGGAAAATCTGGAAACGCTGGACAGTCGTTTCGTCCTAGTATGAGACTCCTCAACACTGCGCATTTACAATCTCCCCTTGCGAGATTTGAACCCAGGACTTGTCAGTCTCGTGCGCGAAAACTCAACCACTAGACCACTGAGCAAGCATCCAACGGTATTAATCTCTAACTTAAACTATTGAAATGACTACAATCTCTACAAAACCCCCTTCTTATACTAATCGACATATACTCACTAGTGAATGACTTCAAGATGTATATCCTGGAGTTCTAGTGTGAAACAGTAACCAGTGGAGTTCAACCAGGTCTGTTGTGAGATAGTAACTCACTGACGACAATGGTGGATGTGTCGCTCAATTTCGTGGATTAGTTGAAGTTAGACATGAACACCGTTGTATGCCGACTGGCTGAGTGGTCTAACGGTTAATTGTTCGCGTGCAAGACCAGTAGGTTCTGAGTTGGAATCTCGCGAAGTGGGATCGAGGGCACGCACTTCTGAGTGGTCCCACAATAGAACGAAATGGCCGTTTAGTGCTTTCAGATTTTCCATGATGGTCTAACTTCAATTGACTCATGAATTCATGAATTCACCACAAAACCCCTTCTGATAATAATAATTATTACTATTATCATTGTTATTGTCATTGCTACGACTTACTTTTGTTTATTGTTTTTTTAGGTGACTACAAAGTTGATTTATCAAATGTACAATATTCAATACTGACCTTCGAGGAGATCATTATCATTATTATTTATCTTACTATTACTGCTAATAATAATAATATTATTATTATTATTATGTACCAATTTTTTTAAAGCTAAACGTTACTTTTATTCTTTTGTGTATGTAACGCAATCTTTTCAAATATTTATGTATAGAATATTGAATTTTCTTTTGGAATCTTATATCTTCTCCTTGTACAAAAAACATATTAATATAAACTAAGTGTTAATTTATGCTTTTTAAAATATCAGAAGGGTTTTTTTGTGTGGATATTATGGTAATTTTATTGATTGAGATCATGAACACCATTGAATGATGGCCAGCTCAATGATCTAGAGGTTAAGCATTCGCGAGCAACCGATAGGTTTTGGGTTTGAATCTCACTAGGCAGGATCATAGATGCTCACTGTTGAAAAGTTTCACAATAGGACAAAGTGGCCATCCAATATTTCCAAGTTTTCCATCATGATTTAACTTCAATTGATTCATGATCTCAACTTTTTAAAATGTAAATTCTTCACATTGTTAAGTTATATGTACAGCTTGTTTGTTTTCTTTCTATTTATTTATCTTTTAATATTTCAAATGTAATCTATAATAAAAATGTAAACATTCCAAGTTTGTTTTTATCTTAATAGTTTAAAGTTTAGAATTAATATCCTTGATATTCTTAGTTATTTCATCTATTACCTTATCAGAAATTGAATACAGAACTTTCAGGTCTCATGACATACAATTGATCGCCCAACTATTAAACTGAATAATGTTTAACTTATAAATCAGTGGATTAGGACTTTATGGTTTGATAGATAAGTATTCATTGTGAGAGTTGAGTAACCTGGTTTTTGTCCTCAATGAGATCATAAATGCCCACTACTGAATAGTTTCATATTTGGACTAAGCAGCTATTGAATACTTCCTAGTTTCGAATGTTTGTTCAACCAAAGTCAATTTATGATGTTAATATTCAATTTCAGTAACCTTCACAACATCCGATGATAATTTTAATAAGACATTTATCACCGTTATTTCCATTCTTCAATAAGTTTGTCACTTACTCTCTGTAGTATCATACAACTGATTTATTTACTTCACTGTTAGTTTAGTGCTAGAAGATATTTATAACTGATCAAATAACTGAAATTACCATTAATTATACAATCGAAAAACTTCTAGATGATGCAGAAAACAGCCTATTAATGTTATTGTCTAACATAAATAATCAAATCGTTCAGTTATTACTAATATTAGTGTGTGTTTAAAGTGATCCTAGAGCGTCAAATTAACAAGTCCGGTTAACAGAAGAGGTTTGTGTATGAAGTTTGTAAACTCATAACGTAGAAAACAACTCTTTTAAAACACATTAACTCAGAAAAAATCATTTAGCGTATTTAGATTCTGCCCAGGAAGTTGAAAGATTTTCATTTAGAAGAGTTATGATACCTCATGGTGAGAGCCGAGATTTTTCGGAATTCAAAATGTTCAAGTCTCTCTTAACAATCAGAGCATTAATTAACAT